CCTGACTAAACAGCCCCAGTTCCTTCAGTCTCTGCTCGTAGGGCATATTTTTCAAGCTCTTCACAAGCCTTGTCGCCCTTCTTTAAACCTCCAAGACAGAAGCATTTTTGGACAATGGGGATCATTTTTCTTTCCTACAAAGAGTCCAGTTATGGATTTAAAGGGCTCTTGCATGCACACAGGCCAAATGCTAAGGCAGCTGTTAGAAAGGTGTTAGGCAATACTAGTAGGGATGGGTAGTACATTTTCCAGGAATGGAATGCCTAGAGGTTTCAGGAGGAAGGTAAAACAAAAGCAAGCTTCCTGCAAGGAATTCCTCTTTGTTTTGTTTATGATCCCCTGGAATCTCTGGTTGTGAAGGTTAAAAAGAAAACATAAGGAGAATAAAATGAAATGACTATCAAACAAGAGGTAAAGATCTCTCCTGTGTATCTATGATCCAACACAAACAACATCTCTGAAATTTCACAGCTGATTTGCAGTCCAGAAAGGTTATATTCCTGCTTGTAAAACTAACAAAGACAGGTTGCCATTCCAACATGAGGCAGCAGTGCAGTTACAAAAGCCCCTGTCCTGTTTCATCAATTCTAAAAACCTAGCTATACTCAACAACTTCATAAACAACTACAACCACTCTTCTTGTCAATCTGAAAAAAAATAAATCCCTCCCCTCCCACTTCTGGCAATATCTGCAGGTCCCCTGGTGAGCAGGCAAGACTGAAGGTTGTCACACACAGCAGTTCAGTTTACCAGGGTAACACTATCTTATCCCACATAGAATTGGCTTCGTAAATTAAAGCAGGAAGGCATGGCACTGCACCACAGTTTCCTGCTTTCTACATCTCCATCTGCTATCAGCAAAATCTTAACTGTCTCAGCTGCTGTTGCACTCACAAATTCAGTTTTACACTGCAGTGCAAACTTGCACAAGGAATTGGTTAAAACAAGACCAAGAAGAAAACAACAGCCTCCCAACTGCCTCCTAATGCCGTTCCTTAAAGAAATACAAGAGAGAAACTAGGATAGTACCTATCATCCCTATTTACTTTATTTTCTGGTTACAAAAGTACAGATTCTGGATTTCACATTGAAGTTTTCAGTCCAGAAAGATGCAGAAAACCAACCTTAAACCATACAAACAAGCACTGTAACTACACCTTCTGCCTCCTCTTTTTTGACTGTGTAATGAACAGCAAAGCAGATAACTAGGAACAGAACAACAACCTCCACTCATTCCTGCTTACATTTCTCTACCCAAAAATATAAAGAAAGCAGAGAAGACAATGACCAGATGCATATTTCATACATTGCTTACAAATTCAGCACCAGTATCTCTAACAAATACAAGGTAACAGCAGTGACTGATGCTAGTAAATTACACCTTAAACAATTTGCTCAGATTTATACAAACTTCTCTCAGAGAACCTTCCAGCTGAACATAGCTGCAGATTCATCAGCACTGAAAAGAGACAGAGAAAATAAATCACAAATACCTTTTCTGTTCCGCCTTGCATACTGAACTGCAGAGCATAAGAAGAGTATAAACCTGTATTTGTTCGGGTGTGTAAGTGTGTCTGTGTTGAAATTCAGAGCGGCTGTTTTGCAGATTTGAGAACAGGAAGCATCTCTGACAGAACTTCACAGTGAAAGTCCCCTGAAAAGCACTAATGCATATGTACTGCATACACATCACTGCTACCTCCCCTTTCCTCTTTCTTTCCTACATCTGTCTCTTACTTTGCATTTTTTTCTGTGAAATTTAAATACACTTTTGCTGAACAACTTCAAAAGCCTTTTCCATGTGAAAATGTAGCACTCTTGAAAAAATATATTTTTTCTTAAATAACACTTCATGTTAACTTATTTTAATGTCATCTTTGATTGCAGATCTTTTTCCCCAAGCTGTATGTATGAATGCATGGTAACCATGACCCTTCGAGCCCCCTGACCGTGTTAATTGAGTGGTTTCAAATCAGCCCAAACATTTGATTTTTGAAAAACCCAACAATTTCTGTGGAATGCTATCATAAATTCATTCAAAAGGAAAGACCAATCACGGGAAGGAAAGTTATTTTCCATAAGCAGTCATTGCTTTCACTTGAAAGCAGCATGCAAAGTATCTCAAGAATTTCAGTACTCATATTTACCTCTAAATAATGTTCTCAAGCAACCTCTCTTACAACCAGTTCTGATAAGCAACACAAATCTGGAGTTGCATTCAACTCCACCATTCCTCCATAGTGTCCCTTTTTGCCTGTCTCTCGGCCACCTTCCTAACACCAGAAAATAGCTAGGGCTCCTTGCAATAAGCCATGAATTCATTGCTAGTGAGCCTAACGGCACAGACTGAACTGCACTTAGAGCTCCCCCACGTAGCTGTAGATGCCCCTGCTCACTGCAGAGGACTTGGACTAGATAATGCTTGAAGGTCCTTTCCAACTCAAATGATTCTACGATTCTATGACAACCAAAAGAGAATGTTTGCAATTACTTGTAATCTTAACAGGCAGAAAGATTACATTCAATAAACTCAGCAATGGCAATGCTGTTACGGGTGAATATATCTCCCCATGTTTAAGGATATTTTTCCATGAGAAAAACTGAAGAAAGATGAAGTTTTTCACTGAAGATATTCACCAATCACATTTTTAGGAAGCCTGTATTTTCTATCACGTTACCTAATTTAGAGAGGGACAGATCAGCTACACAACAGCGCATCTGACTTTGCCTTCAAGCATGATACGAGAATGAGGAAGAACTTAATGTGGTTTTTAGTTCTTCAGAAAACAGCTCTCAGTGCTGAGCTCAGAAAAAATTAAGAAAAAACTTAAGAGAAAAAAAAATGTACCAATCCTGTATGTGAGCACAGAATACAAAACATGTACTGTTGTTCCAGAACTTCCGACTGAAACCAAACTATTTTTTTAATCATTTGACTGGACACCACTGACTGAAGTCATTTTGGAAAGAAGAGGCCATAAAAATTAGGTATTAATGGAAAGAACTTGCCTTCATACATATGTTATGATATTCTCATAACAGAAATTTACAGGCCACATTTATTTAGGTCACTGAATTCTATGCTCCTAAAATCAGCAGCAAATTTCAAATATCAGCCAGGAGAAAGCTTAGAGAAAACTGTTTTTATCCCAGAGAACTTTTCAAGTGTCTCATGTTTCAGCTGGGACGGAATTGTTTTCTTCAGTGTTTGGTATGACGTTATGTTTTGGCTCCAGGAGAAAAACAATGCTGATAACACATCAATGTTTATAGGTGCTGCTAAGCAGTGTTGCACAGAGCCAAGGCCATTCTCAGCAAAGGGCTCAAGGAGCTGGGAGAGAACAGAATTAGGGCAGCTCACTGGAAAAGGATAGTATCTATCTATGTACAGATAGATAGATTTGTCATAATTATTATCCTTTTCTCTATGTTAGTAAACAGTAAATAGTTTTATCTCAACCCATGAGTTCCACTTTTTTTTCCCTGATTCTCTCTCCTGTCCCACTGGGAAGAGGAGAAAGTGAGTGAACAGCTGTGGTGCTTAGCCACCTGCTGGATTAAACCACAACAGCAGTCTACCAAAGTTAAAGAAAAATATTATTGATACATAACGAGTCCCCAAATTCTTTCTTTCCTCAAAATGTGGATTTTCCAGAGATAAGCAAGAAACAAGGTATCCATTTTTCCCCTTCACTCCTTTCATATCCTTGAGTCTCTGACTTCCTCCTCCTCATTGTTGCCTGACAGATAAAGAGCTATTCTTTACTCTTGGCAAGGACAAGAACAAGTATTACTATGTGGGTATATTTTTTCCTACTGCAACACCTGAGGCTCCCAAGTCCCCCTGCTACAGAGCCTACAAGTTTGCCAAAATACCACTGTCCCAAATTATCTTGATGTATGGAATGCTGTTGAAGAAAAGTGAAATAATTTAATTACATGTAGATGTATAAACACACAACAGGCTCCCAGTTAGAAGAAAAAAGACTGACACCCTTTGAAAGTGGAAAGTCCCTCTGAAACTGCAGTAACAAATTTACAAAAAGCCCATTCATGCAGTTTATTGTAGCCTTTGTTCTCTTTTCCATAGCTGGAGAGACAGGTTTACAGAGATTTATAGAAACTAACAGCCTAGGTCTACAGTTACATATCATGGAGGCCCAGAGATACTCAAAGAATGCTTGGAAGGGACCTTAAAGATTACTCAGTTCCAACACCCCTGCCCTGAGCAGGATTGCCAACCACTAAATCAGGCATTAGATCAGGCTGCCTGGAGCCCATCTAACCAAGCCCTGAATGTCTTCAAGTGAGGATGGAGCATCCTCAATCCCACTATCCAGGTCATTGATAAAGATGGGTGCAAACATATCCAAACACACAAAGATGTTCAGCAAAAAAGACATACATGCATATTTTTTCATTTCTAAAACTTTGAATGGCTTTCCTCAAATCAGTATTAGTGGTAGTTATTTAGTAGATTACGTGAAATACTGAATAACAATACATTTTGATACGTTTTCTTGTAGGTAATTGTTTAGAAAAAGATCCACTTTAATTATTCCCAGCTAGTTCATCTATCAATAAGTATTCATATACACCTTCTAGAAAACCTAAGGAAGCAATCTGGAAAAGAAGAAGCAACAGCTACAGAGAGAAGATAGTATTGCAAACGCCACAGAAAAGACCACATATTGTTTTATTTCTTTTGACATATAGGTTGCTCTAGAATGATTACTTTGCTCCCAGACAACACAGCCAGGCATAACAACTGAAAAGCAGAGAATGGCAGGGGTAGTTATTTTCACTTTCAGGATATTGATACTATATTGCCTTTACAATAAATCAGTCTTTCCTTACTAATGCAGCCCCCGTGGAACATTATATTGCAGTATATCAACAGTCTTGGATTGAAGAAATATGATATCAAGGCTGACAATCTGAACAGCACAGTACACAAAACATAGACATACAACACAAGAACAGTTCCACTTTGTACTCACTCTTACAAAGTTGTCAGGGAACAAACCTCTTCTGCCTTTGAGCTGTCCTTCCCACCAGCCTCCATCATCCTTCTTGATATTGGTGATTATGTCACCTACAGTGATTGTCAGCTCATCATCATGTTGAGCTTTGTAGTCGAACTCCACAATCGCCTCCACTAAAAGAGAAAAACACACATTACAAAATCAGTAACTGTACATCTACATTTCGAAAGGAATAAGAAACACCAATCCGATCAGTGAAAGTAATGTAATTTCGTTAAGCAAGAAAGCACATAAAATAGGCAACTTGTAACAGTAACATTTTGGTGGATAACTGCTAAGTGAGGAGGCAAAAAAAAAAGGAAAGCACACTAATGCTCATCACGGCTGAGGCAACAAATGGCTTACATTTTTCAGTTTGTGCAGCTTCAGCATAACTACTCCAGTAGCATTACAAGGGTTATTTCTTGGAAAACATTTAGCAATATTTCTTTGACTTTTGAAGTATTTTCTTTCTGGACAGGTTACACAGGCATCCCAAGCCACTGCACCAATTTGCTAGATACATCCCTGATAAATTAAAGAGCATTTATCAAGATTTTTTTTTTTTTTTTTTTTTTTCTGGTATAATGCTGAGTTCACTGTTATTTACACAGAAATGCAAAGCTTTGGTGCATGAACAATGCTCTCATGGGGTTTTACCAACAGGAGAAAAATTTCCTTTCATTTGTAAATCTTTATCAGAGGATGCGAAGATGAAATACTCCTGCCGCTCTGAATGCCTGCTATCAGAGGTTATAAGCTCATTACCACTACATGGTGAGTCATTTCTTTTCCTGGAAGGACCCCTGAAACCACACACACAGGGCAATATATATTGCAAAGTCGCAGTAGAGAATTAGGGAAGTAATAAAGACAGGAAAAAAAAAAAATCATTTGAAGAATCAAAAGGAACGGATTTGAGGTATTCAAATATAGTAGCAATGGTTATATTTAGCAATTCATCAAACATTTTGTAGGAGGGGCCTGACTGGTAAGGTCACAGATAGTCGTATTTGTAATGCCTTCCCCGTTTTCTTCAGTGGAAAACCAGGCCCCAGGATGTTCCACCAACCTTCACACTGCAACCACTGAAACAGAAACAGGAGAATAGGTATGTGCTTTCTACAAGAATGACTGTGCTGCGTAAATTCTGCAAGACCGGGCCATCAAACAGGCAACACAACTCACAAAGCAAAGCTAACAGACCGTGGAAATGTTCTGCCTAACTACAAAAGCCCCAAGGAGTGCACTGAATTAAGCTGACAAGAAAGCACAATTATTCCTTTCCACTCCCCCAAAATGTCACACAGACAATGCTGAACATCTTCCTTCCTCCCCCAGATCTTGCAAGTCACAGCTAAAAGAGCATTCTGACTTACAGATACATCCCAGGCACAAAGCTACAGCTGATTATATTTATCTACCGCTTCTTTTGTGAAGACAAAAAACATACAATAACCACATACATGATGTTCATAAGAGCCCTGCTATCTACTACACAAACAGCAGGAGACAAAGTGAGGCACCACATACATTACAAGTTAACATGCAAAATAGAACTGAAACTTAAGACATTCAGGCTGGGAAGAATCTCAGAGGGTCCTTCTGAGGACTTTTTGTCCAGTTCAGGACTAGCTCTCAGGTCAGACCTAACTGCTTTGGGTTCTTTGTACCACATGCTAGATGCATTAGAGCAGAGACATTTCAGAGAAGAACCCAGCCATCCTGATTTCCAGAGAGAGCATGAGAGCTTTCCCAATAGTTCTTATGGGCACTTCCTTGTTTTTATACAGGTATGTTTTGGGATGGGTTGCCTTCAGTTCCGTTTTGTTGATCACGGGTTCCCTACTGTTTCCTTATACCTTTTCCTTGAGTGTTGGTTATCTCCCTCCCCCACCATTACTAATTTAAACCTCTTCTCATCTGATTGGCTGGTCTGTTAGCAAAGATGCTTTTGTCCCCCTCTGGCGGATCACATCTTTTTCAAGCTACCCTCAAAGAGGGTCCCCATGGTCACAAAACTAGAACTCCGTTGCTGACATTAGCTACATAGCAAATATTTACCTGCTGGATCTATCCATTCCTTCTCACACACTTCCCTCTCACCAAAAAGATCAAGGTCAAAACTGCCCAGGCACTTAATGCCCTTAACCATGGCCCCAGAGCTATGTAGTCACTACTGACAGCATCATTAGAGCCTACGTGGTGGCAGAGCAACAGGGCACGTTATGGGTGACACAAGCCTCATCAGCCGTTTCACAACATTCTAGACCCAAGCTGCTAGCAAGCAGCAAACCTCCACAGATGACAGGTCAGGTCATCAGATAGAAGCCTCCAACTTCCATAGCAGAGAATTTCCCTACTACTATCACTTGTCACTTTCTCCTTGAGGCTCGGGTTTAGCCGGCTTGTGTGACTTTTTGGACTGAGCACCCAGTCCTCTTATCAACTACAAGAGCACTGAAACTACTCTGCAATTGCACATCCTAAAGTACAACAGTAGCAAGAAACTATAAACTTCCAGCTTCCAGACTTGCCATCCTGGGAGTCCCCAGCAGGCACAGATTCTGCTGGCCTCTCATTAAGGAACACTGGATGTTTGGACTCTTACGGTCTCAAAGACTTGGAGAAGGTCTGAAAAGCCCAACCCTTTGAGCTCAACCATCCAAACCATTATTAAAACCCACCTAGCTGTCCTGCAGCATCTCACCACAACCGCTGAGGCATTTCACACCATCTCTGGTAGAGTTTCTGGATGTCTTCCATGCAAACTGCTACACTAACTAGAGAATCTGTTGAGCTAACCATTGCAGTTAGCACAACCCAGCGGTGGCCAGAGAGCTGTAATGATGAGGCGGGAAAGAAGCAAGCATCGGGCTGGCTCGGACTACTGATTCTTCAAACACTTCTCAACATTCAGACTTCAACAAGACATACTGAATGAAGGAAGGCAAGCAACTCTCCCGTTCGCCAAGCAGTGGAGTTATCTTCTTGAAGTCTGCCTGCCTTGCACTAAATCTTAAGCAGACAGCTGTTCAGCCACTTTTGTTTTATTAGAAGTTTAATTAAACAAACAAAAAACCTCTTTACTGCACAGGCTCTTCTCTGTCTACAATTTTTTCAACTTATTGAGAAATTTATATAAATATTTTAAATGCTGTCTCTTCTCAGAGGATTTGATTACTGTAACGTAAGTGTGTGTAACCCAACAGAAACATACAAGTCACCAAGAATGGACCACACAATTAAGATGTTTATAAACTCTATAAGAAAACCAAGCGCACGGTTTGGAAAGAGGGGTTAAGAGTACACCTAGCAAATGTGCAGACTGCGGCAAACTGGTGGGAAGGTACTCAAACTTCTCATTCAAAACACTACTGAAGAGCATATGAAAGCCTAAAAGTGTTTCATAATTCACAGCCCCATAAAATTGCAGTTTTTAAATCAAGTTCACTTTCTAAAATGTACTAAACAACACCATCTTCTCAAATTGAGATTTGAAACATTCATCCTGCCTGCCAGTCAAATTTAGTCTTTTTTGTTTCTCTTGATGAGGACTTTACAGATGCTGGATTGATATTGGAGGCAATACTGATCCGGGCATGCTAAGCGGATCTCAGTTTTGCATCTGCAAGTAAATCATACCTCATTGCTGAAGTGCTGAGCTACACTTCTCCTCAGGAACAGGGCTAACTAAGTGCCATGGTTTGCACAGTGATTTATGATGTGAGAAAACACTCCATGGACAGTGAGCTCAAACTAGTTCTGTTTGTTAATCAACAAAGGCTGGTCGTAGGCATGGCTCTGCCAAGGTAAACAGCTTGTTACATTAACAGCCAACAAAAATCCCTTTTAAGCCAAAAAGCGAAAGAAAGCAAAATTGGAGCAGGCAGATCTTGCCTCGCTTTATGGTGCAGTTTTCTTAAAAATGACTGAAAGACAAATCTGTCTCAACTTACAAACTCAAGCTGTAAGACCTTTTCTATAGGAAGAAGGCATTTTTCAGTTTAAGAATCATTTAGAAATCCAAGTATGAAATCCAAAATGAAAAGCTATTCAAGTTATTTTGATCTGAAAGGGGAATGCTTATCCTTACGCTGATAAAATCAGCTATTCCTAACATTGTATTACCATCGATGCAGATTGTAATAGCAAAACTCGTGAAATAAAGTCAAAACTAGCTATTACCAGCTCTGCTGGAAACTGCCACAGTCCAACTCATTACTGCAATGTCAGGGACAAAGATTTATATATATATTTAATTGAACGCTTAGTGGTTTGGGCTTAAAATAATAAAATTGAAATACGAAATGTTATGAAGCAGAAATTGAAATGGAACCCTTCAGTCACATTTTTAAAAGAATGCATATCTGGAAAAACTGTTGATAAAGGTTAACTATTCCCACCTTTTGTTCCCTGAATTAGTCTTATATGCACATGGAATTATTTGGTTGATCATTACGAAAGTTTTTCCTCTACTTGTTTGTTTCTTTAGTAAAATCTAACCTCTTCAAACTGAATTTGTCAGAACATTTTTTTAAGCATGCCACCAAAATTTGAAGAGATGAATGTCTCCGTTTATGCTATTTTCAATTACTGTACAGTGGCTTTCCAAGCAAGAAATGAATCTAGAAAAGAAACAGCAATTTGCTACTGTGCAACAGAAACTACATTATTAAATCAGCTCCTGCTCTTATCTGAAGTGTGTAGGCACAATGGAAATGTTATTAATGTCTTTGGCATACTTCCACCCAAGTAACAGCATCCATATGGCAGCACCACATTCTGCAGCAGCATGGTTTCACACATGATTGCAGACCTTAATCCTAGTGTACACAGCAGTGTACACAGCAGTCAAAGAGTTAAGAGTTTATCTCCTACAAGTTTACAAAAAAAAAACCAAAGCACCAAAGAACTGAAAGTATTCCATACTGAAGTTTTAAATTAGCGTTCCAATGACATTTCTTCAGAAGACAGTGCAACAGTGCTTTTCTTTTTTGCATAAACCTAACTGTTCATAAGTAACAAAGACTAACAGCGTGAACAGGCATCCTACCACAACCTCACTGTTACACGACACTGCATAAGCCTCTATGGGAAGGTCTCAGTGACTACAGAAAGCTTCAAGTTCTCT